ACATGTAGCACAAGCTGATGAAGGTAGACTTTGAAGTAATACCTCAGAGGTTTACACATGGTACAATTCTATACACATGGTAAATGTGCATAGAATTACTTCTTAACATAATGATTAAGATTTCTGTGATTTGCTGGTGTTCTTTCATTCAATCCATCTATACAATCATAATCATATAGTATGAACACCGTGAAAGGTATGTCAATTTTGTACCTCAATTAAAAAAAATCTCCTTGACCAATAAATCTAGCATTTAACAACTAAGGCTTACCTTCAGAATCTAGTTGCTAAGGCTACAATCTTTTCCCAACTTACACAGGAGTAAACAACTCATGCTGGACTCAATGAAATTGTTCTATTAATCCTGCATTTTGTGATCTACCAAAAGAAAACATCAGAACTAGAGATTCAAGTTTAAGAATATAACGTTTGATTAGTCTTTGTTATATATTCTAAAGTACTTTCTATAAGTCATCATTCTCTTCCTATTTGCATAACCATTTCAAAACCCAAACCACTATAACAAGATAGCATTCCCCAGCTAGGTCTTCTGTAACTACCCCATAGGACTTAACAATCACAGATTTTAAAAAACTGAGCTACAGTAATATTCATTTAGAATTATTAGGATACACATGCACACACACAGTCCATTTAGAAACCACCATGCTGTAGAGTTCCCACAATTCATGCAGGGTTTGTGAAACAATCTGTGTTATCCCCGATATAAGTGAAAATTCATAAATGGTTGCTGTTTAGAAAAATATGGTAGATATTTCCTCTTCATGCATAGTGAGAACTGAAATTGATGTACTCTAGGATTTGGCTTCACAAAGCTGATAGAAGAAAAGGACAAGCATTTCCTTTAGGCACAATTAGAGAGATCACCCATCATTTCCCTCAAAGCCTTGGCAAACCAAATGAAATAATATTCCATTTAGTTGGTACTGTGACATTAGTGGTACTGCCCCTTTGGGCCTACTGAAGAAAGTTTGCTTTCAATGGGGTTTAAGTACAACACTGTAGAAGCAAATTCCCTAGATTTCAACCTGGCAGAAGACTGCAATCTATTTTGCTCTGAGAAGACTTTACAAATCAAGGACTTATAAATAGTAAGATAAATATGTCACCATCTAATAAAATAATACTTGAGGCACTGCAGTTTGACTCTTGCCGACCCCCCCCCCCCCGCTATTTATAGGGAAGGATTTTGGAATCACTGCTCCCTCCTTTTCCCCAGATCCATGACTGAATGATAAAAATGAACTTCTTCAGCTTCTCTAAGAAGTACTGACTTAACATCATCAGCTTTTCAGAATGCAGGTAATGATTGAGCACACAGATATGGATTCGACCAGAAATGGGTTTCTAAAATTGAATGTAATGAAAGATTGTATGTAATGAAAGAAAAGCAATTTCCCCCCCCAGAAAGATGGGAAACTAGAAAAAAAAACTTTATATACTCTGATCAAACTTACTTGGGAAGATATACCATTGTGTGCAATGAGATTAAATTGCAATATTTACTTGGGAATAAACCAGAGTGAACACTCATACTTTTGTGAGAGAAAACAGTAGAACACAGGGACTGGATAGGTATGACTCACTTTTTCATGGTTGACTTAACCATGGTTAACTTATGGTTTTGGTGTTTGCATGACACAATGAGCAATAAAATAATGACATTCAAGACTAGTTTTCTACATGTACTAAGCTAAAATGTTGTGTCACCATCACAGGATTTCCTTCTTCCTTTGGGATGTATTATCACACACCTAGGCAAGTATGCAGTCAATTGCAGCTGAAATTAGACAGTAGTTCAAGTGTTGTTTACAATCCAGTTGGAATAAGCTCCTATCTTAAGCTTTAAAATTTTGAACTCCCACTTTCTTTATTGCTAAATATGTGCTAAGTGCTGATATCCCAAGGAAGCAAACAGATGTCTTTCTTTGGCTCCCATCATCCATCCATCGTAAATGTCTCTCTCCCAGCCCCCTTATCGGGTATTTGGCAAGCCACTTTCAAGGGAAAAAGAAGAGCCATATTCCCCCTCCCTGCAAAGCCTTTTACATCAGGATGGCTGAACCTTTAGGTTCAGAATGGCTGAACCTAACAACTTAACAGTGCAGTTATAATGTTTATTACAGTAAAAAGTAAGCTTCACAGAGCTTTATCTATCTACAATTCATTTGTAGATAAATTGCTGTACATTTGAATGTTTGTAATTTACTGTTGTCTAAATTAAGCAGCCAAAATTACGGTTAAAAATTCCATTGGCCTCTTGGATTTTTTCTCTTCCTTCCATTTTGTGTTTTTCTTTATAAATTTTAATTATGTATTTATTTGTTTTAATTTGATGTCAACCACTCAGAGTCCCCCATTGGGGGGAGATGGGTGGGGATAAGTCTACTAAATAAATAAATAAATAAATAAATAAATAAATAAATAAATAAATAAATAAATAAATATTAGTTGAATGTGTGAATTGGCTTTAGAAAAATCCCCTCACTGAGAAGATTGGACTAAGGAACATGAAAGTTCACTCTGTCTGACTTCATGTACCAGAACAAACAATATCAGTGCAACAGGTCTTATGAATTAGGGGTGGATGACAGAGGACCACTGGCTGTTCCAGGTGATTCCATGTGAAAGCCTGAGCATTGAGGAAGGGAGAAGAGAGAAGGCTTCAGCCTATTCCTGGAAATAGGGCCATTCTACGCACAAGTTTTACTTGCTGCCACAGTCCTTGAATGCCAAGCGTGCACTTATGGATTCAGCAGCCCTCAGCCACCATTGTCGGTTCACTTCCTTAGCAAAGGCACTCCCGGCAGCTACGGGCCGCGACTCTCAGGCAGGCAGGCAGTAGAAGGCTGGGAGAAGCAGACTGACAGCTGTGGCCGGTTAAGAGGGAGCGGCCGCTCCCGAGAACCAATAACAACACTTTTCAGAGAAAACGATTCTGCCGTGAAGCCGCCTTTCTGCTGCCCGCAGCGGCGCTAACCGTGACAGGCCGAGATCAACGCGGCGTGGGCTCGGGCAGCCCCGCGAGTTGGGCAGAGGCCCAGAGCAGCTCTTCCGCCCCTTTGGAAGGAATGCCCTCTCCGTCGACGGCTGCCCTGGGTATCTCCGAGGCTGTCTACCTTGGGTGTGCAAGAGGGCTGGAGAAAAACGAAGTTTCGGGAGCGAGGGATAGAGCTGCCCGTTCCCTCGCCACAGGAGAGGAAATACCTGAGAGGAAATACCTGGGAAGTACGGCAAAATCACTCGCTCAGGAGAGGGAGGAAGAGTCCAGATGTGGGGGCTATAAATCCCATTGTCCTCAGCCACCACAGGCCAGCGCAAGCCGGGATGGCGGGAAGAAAGGTCGAAGGATGTCCACCTCAGGGCGGAGAGGGCAGGAAACAGCTACGCCCGCCGCATCAGCTAGGGCGCCTCAGCCGACAAGCCGAGAACCCTTGCTGTCAATTGCTCTGCCTTCGTCCGGCTTGCGCCCCTTGGCCTGTTTCCCGGTGGTTTTCCCGCGACAGCCTGTGGCCTCAGCTGGACAACCACATTTTAGCCGAGCGTGCTGTTCGCGCCCAGGCCCTGCGGTTAGATTATGGTTCAGTGTGTGGACTGGACGGGATAAACCAGAATTCCGTTAACCGGACGGTCAGTGCGCCTTTCCGTGTCTGGGTTCACACATCGCGCTAAGCCAAGGCGCGCTTCTCCGCGGAATGGGCTCGCCGAAAACCAAGCGACCCACCTCCTGGCTCAGCGCGAGGTGGGAGCCGGTCGTTCTCTCTCTCTCTCTCTGCGGTGGGAGCGACGCAGGTGGATCTACGGAAAAGTGGCGGGCGAGAGCTTCGGCAGCGTTCGCGTCTCTCCGGAATGACAAACTATAAATTGACGCGCCAGTCCCGGGATGAGGGGAATGGCGTTGCTTTTCGCCAAGATCCCTCCGAAGCTTCCGCTGGTTTCGAGGGAGCGCAGGAGGAATGGTCCCTTGGAAAGAAAGGGGACCGAAGCCTGAGTGCGATCTAGCGAGAGTTAAAGGGCTTTGTTTCGGGGTACAAATGCTGCCTACTGCAGATTGAAGCCCGTTCCAGAAGTCCAGGCCTTCAGGCCCTTCGACAGGTGGGGACCAACGGTGGGGTCTCCCGAGGCTTCCGGATAAAACTGCGGGGCTCCGGAGGCCCCGCTGCTCAGGCGCTGGCCCGGGCTTTGCTTTGAAGCGGAAGCCTTGGAGGCGACAGGGAAGGGACTGGATTCTAGGATTCGTCGCCCCGATGATAATCGCCGGTTGCTGTCGAGTCCCAACAGGTTTGTGGGCCGAACACGCGAAACTTGTAGCATGTAAATCGTGTTTAGGTCTTGTATGTTTAGTGCGTCCTCCGGAGCCAACCCTTTCGGTTAGTTTCTGGTTCAGTGCTTTGCGCGAACCCCGAACCCCAGGTGATGGAAGCGGATGGGAAGCTCTTAGTAAACCTAAACCGTTTGACAGCTCTCCGCCCGCATCCCCGTTCCGAGATCTCTGGTCTGGTCCATTTCCTGATTCTCAGCAGACCCCACTTTCTATGCCAAGCCCGCCCGGATTTTAGGCAGCTTCTCTCGGATCGAACCATTTCTGAAAGGAAGCGTGTGCTTCTGGTCCAGTCACCTCCCGCCGGCTTTTGAAGCTGCCAGGTCCCATCACCAGCTGTGTCTGGGAGAGGAACCTCCTATCTCTTTGGTGTCATGTCTCCGGAGCTTAAAGCGTCGCAGAAGTCGCTGAGAACCCTCCCCATCCTCCGAATCCCAACGATTCCAGCTTGTCCATCGCTGAATCAAGGCGCTCTGCACATGTTCAGGCGCACTCTTTCTCTTAAATATCACCAGCTGTGACATCTCAGACACCCTGGAACTGAGCCCACTCGAGCACCGCCAGTCAGCTGCCGCATCTCACCTTCTACCCAGCCGCGAGAGAAAGTTTCCGGGCAGCCCGTCCCTCCCTGTTTTCCCGCTTCACCCCGCGGACTTACCACCACGACGAGTCCACCCGCGGCGTGAGAATCAGCAGAGTTAGCAGCGAAGGCAACGCGAGGAAGGAGCGGGCTGGCCTGCTCTGGGACGCCCGCCTGGTGACTCCGGGAGCGCTAGCAATCCTAACGGAGCTTGCCAGGCGGCTTGAGCCAAGCATAATTCTCTTTCGCGGGAAGCCGAGGAGGAAAGAACAAGCCCCAGATCGCAAAGAGAAGAGGACGGGTTCTTGGATCTCCAGTTGGGAGGGGGGCTGTTGTGGGGAAGAGAAAACGGAGGCGGCCCTAGGTTATCCCTGGCGGCGGCAGTCACGGCTCTTTTACTAGGGCTGCTGCGTTAGGCATGGCTTCGGAAGGAGGCCAACTCAAACTAACCTAAACCCCAGGGCGGGCGGCCGCTTGCTGGGCTGGCCGGCTGATTGCCTCCTGAGATGGACTGGCCGTCGCCTGGGCTGGCAGGAGCGTCTGCGGAGCAGCCCTAAGGACCGGCATCTGCTGGGAATGAAGATGAGGAGGACACGCTGGAGGGGTGGGCTTGGGGGCAGGCTGGGGAGATGGACACCTCCTTGGACTCTCATTGGGCAAAACTCCCAGGCACAAAGACAAGGCTGTGGGTGGAGTGGGGGGAGATCAAGCCCAGCCAAGCAGTTGGGACTGTGCTCTCTCTATTGCTGGTTTTTTCTTCATCGGGGTTTACTTTCCCCTCCCTTGCTAGCTGAATACTCTCACCTTTTCCCTCCCAGGCACCACCTGCTGCCGAGAAGGAAAGCCAGAAGAGATCAGAGACGGTGCTGAACTCTCCCTTGCTGGCAGACTCAGACAGCCTCCCCCGACATCCCATTTCTCCACTGGTCCTAGTGCCTCCTATAGTTGTCCATTCTCTCAGCCCCAAGGGAGGGAGCACGCAACTGGGGGTTAACCCAAACCCAGGCTTGACATTTAATACCTTATTGGATGTGTATGTACAGAGTGCTAAGCCAAAATATGGTTTGTGGCTTAATGGGTGGTGTGAATCCAGCCTTGTTTAAGCAAATCTTGGCTTAGTATAGTGTGAATTTATCCCCAGAATTCTAGCCCCTTTTTCCCATTGTGCCAACCCAGAAGCATGGTTTAGTTATTTATTATATTTATATTCTGCTTTTCTTCTAGGACAGGAGTTTGGGACTGATAAATCTTGGAGTCTGGAGCTCCACAAGACTCTCCCCTCTCTTGCTCTAGGTACTCAAGGCAATGTGAGAGACCCTAGGCCACCCATTGAACTTAATGGCTGGGTTGGCATCCATCCTGCTGGCAGAGCACCAGATTGAAGATGAGGTGGCACTTCAGATTCAAAGTGCTGGTTTAACTCCCAAAACCCTTCAGAGTATTTGAAGATGTGTTCCTGCCCGTTTCAATAAATCATTTTCATCTGCTGTGTGACAAGTGATTATCCGAGAACAGGCCTTTTCAATGGCAGCTCTTACCTTTGGAATACTCTGTCTGGAGGGAATGCCAGGCACCATCTTTAGTTTTTCAGCACTAGCTTTCCATTGCATTCTCGCAGGACTTACACTGCTGCAATATTTTAACTTGCTGCTGCTGTTTTTATTTTCTATTTAATTGATAATTTGTCTTGTACATTTTATATAACATTTGATTTTTTATATCAGTTTTTTTCTTAAACTGTGTGAATTTTAGTGTAAATCACTTTGAGATTTTTAAGGGGAAGCAGTATATTAATATTATAAATAAAATAATGCTCTAGGCTGGGGTGGAGTGGCTATGATTTATGTCAACAAAGAGCTTTGCACTGCAGGAAAGACACAATTTACCTGTCATGATAAGCACTTGGATAAGCCAGAAGAAGCTTCTGTACATGTGTTCCACATATGTAGAAGCTTCTTCCAAAATATTGCAAAAACTAGCAGAAGCAAGCAAGCAAAACAATGCAGCTGCTTCACTTATATCTCAGAAGCAAGAGGGCTGCATTACTTCAAAAACAATCACTTCAGGGGGATGCTTTGCTGGGACCGTTGTTGAAATGAAATCAAAGATCTGAACAACTCTGTTATACATTTTCTCTTTTTCATACATATCTTCTAATCCTTTATTTATTATTCCTTAATGAGCTATTTTCCACATTACTTCTCTACTACTGAAATTCACCTTACAGTATCTCTTGCCTCACCTATGTTCTTGTTGTTCTTGTTACTATATCTCTGATGTTTCATTCAATTGAGCACAATAAATAAGTACATGAACTCAGCAGGCATCCAAGAATACCCTGTTCCTTAATTCCAAATATTTGGTTGGCTCATAAATAACATCTTTTTTTACAACTGATGAATTTTGGAGTTCTATCAAAAAGCAAATTAGATTCTATATGCTTAAATCACCCCTCCCCATGTCCTAGTTTATGACTAAACACCCCAGATACTGGTTGAGTTCACACAATATGCTAAAACATAACATAGTTGTCTGGATTTGACTTGGAATATTATGTGAATCCAGTCAGAGTGATTTGTAAGTCATGATTTATGACTTAGGCTGTTGTGTGAACTCAGCCAATGCAAAACTCAGTTTCCTCCTTTGTATATACACTTAGAACTTATTCCCTGAACTTGCATCTACTCCTTTTCTCCTTTGACATTACCATATTTTCATGCCACATCTTTCCATTGTTATTCATCTACTGGAACTGATAAGCCAGCTGAGTTCTGTCACTTAAGTAAAACAACATGTTCTCTCTCCCCCCCCCTCCCCCCCGCCCCATCCCCTGCTTTTAGCACTTCTAAGCAATTGGTGGCATCCCCTGAGCTGGGTTCAAAATGCCACATGTCTAATACCTTCAGCAAAATTATTTTCTGTTTTCAAAGCTTGCCTTAAGGAGGTGCTGTGCCCACCACTTGAAGTCCTGAGGTTCATTAACAAACTTTGCTAGTCTCTAGGAGGCAAGCAGGTGCTTTTCTAGCTTTTGTAAGGCTAATGTTCTGCTGAGTAACATTGTGTTTTATGCCTAATTAATTTCTCAGGATTGCAAGCTTCAGTATCAGCAGGCATTCTGGCATCTGTGGCTTCTTCCTTTGCCAAATCTTTGGCCTTCTTCCTAGTCCAATTCTTATGGTGGAATAATGACTTTATTTGGCCCTAGAGAAACTGAGACCAGAAACCAACACTTCTTATAATCCAATTAAGTTTCTTCAATTTACTATGCTAGAAAGCAAAACCTTTTTGGACTTTGTGCTTTTGTTAGAGATCCAACTGAGTGATTGTGTAACAACTTATTTATAAAACAATCCAAGGGTGAGCATGTGATAGGAGAAGACTGATATTTATAGACTAAAGCCTGGACATTTGTTTGGAAGCTACTTCAATGTGCAGTGATCCTCTGGATGTCTTTAGACTATTACACTATTGAATATTGATTTAGACCACCAGTGTGGAAAGTGCTGCTGTATAGATGTTAGAAGTGACAATGCTGCTTATCAAAAAGATTTAAAATCTAGATGAAACAGGAAGGAGAAAGAGGAAGAACTGGGCTTAACATGTTTTCCTCTAGAACCTGTTCTGATTCTCAGGCCTACTATCACACTAATAAACCCAGATGATTGCCACAGATTTAGCATATCCTTACTATACTTTGAAATTACTCTCAAATCTTTCTGGGTAGCTGCATCACTCAAAGAAGGAACTTTTGTCTCACGTCAGTTAAGAATCCTGATAGAATCATGAGAAAGCTATATTGCCAAATTTCTAAATGGAATTTGTAATGTTTATATTATTCTTTATATATGGCCAGAAGACTAGAGTTCTAGAAAGCAGCAGTGAGAATAACTTATCAAGGATGGGTGACAGTGGAAAAAGAAACAACAAGACTTTCAGGTGTAGTACAATGACTCCAATCATGGTTGTTTTACTCCATCCCATTGTCTTTTCATTGCCTGATTTGTGGGAATCAGAGGTAGATGTTGAATAGCCTGAGGCCATTATGCATATAATGAAATCCTCATAACATTTTAATATTAAAAATGGAATGCTAAGCAAAATAACAGCATGGGGAGGGCCTGTCTCATTAGCTGCTTTTCTTCTCTTCCCTATCCTTTCTTGCATGTTTGCAGATAAATTTTGGGAGATGATTTTGAATTAAAAAGCAGACCTTGGTTAATCAACCCAGTGCCATTCAAAATCTCCCAAGGCTGCTGCTGCTGCAAAAGTACTTCATTGAATACATTTGCATTTCTTGTGTATTTGGCCTCTCACACATTTTTTCAGTATTTCTTGTAATCTATCTTTATTTACGGTTTTTGCCTATAAATATAGTGAAGGCAGGGGAGGCAGCAGCCTTGGACCCCATAGGCATAGGGGCCCATTGGGGTCCCCCTTGCTACTCACTCCTTGCTTCTCTCCTTCAATGAACCTGATCACGCAGTATAGGATACCATGTCTGGATTGCAAACATCCAAGTGACCACTAGACATGCAGCTGGAAGGAGGGAGCAAGGAAGAACCACTGCCACCTGCTACTACTTCTTCCCTGCTGCCACTCCTGAGTGAGTAATCATTAATTAGATGGCAAAAGTTGAGCAGGAGGTGGCAGACATACTTTGGGTGACTGAGTAGATGAGGTGAGACCCTGTCAGGGCTCAGGCCTGCTGCTGCTGCAGTGAAGAAAAAGGAGGAGAATTTGATCTTCCTCTTTCTTTTCTCTTTCCATTCTCAGCTACCAAGCCTTGGGAGTGGGGTAGCTCAGCACTTGGTTGTCTCATTATTGGTGGCTCCCATCAGTTTGCCTTGGAGCCCAGAGAACTCTACTTATCCCCTTGGGATATTTGCCAGCTCTTCCATCATTATTGGTTCTCCTGTCTTTTAATAGAGTGTTCAAATTTCTTTAACCCCAGAAACATTTCCACATGAACAGGGAATGTGCTTTCATATAACCTCCTACACCTAGTTTACTCAATTTGTCTTTATGCAGGTATAATTGGTAGACTGTTATTAAGACTTTCAATCAATTTTAATGATGTTTCTGTGCAAACTTCACACTATTTCTTTCTTCCAAGACTTTCGCAAGAAAGATTCTCTTCCAACCCATTGTTGCTTCTCACCCTCAGAAGAGTCATTTGTAAGCTGATCAAACAGAACAGCCAGGAACTCAACCAAACTCACTATACTTATAGCCTTTCAATGATTTATTCATCTATTTGTTTCTCCTTTTTTAGTAAACAGTCATGTTCTGCTGTAGTTTCAAAGACAAGAAGTTGCTTTCCATTTAATTATGTTCTGATTAATATTTGTTAAGTTTTTGCTTTGACTAAAAAAAGAGGGAAAAAATAAACAAGACCTAAAAGGAGTAGAATTTTACCATTTCACTTTTTAACCATTAGCAATACCTTATTAAATTTATTCCCACACTGTGGGAAATGTTAGGTCAACTCAGCAAGATTCTGATTTGCTATCCTTGTACAGAGAAAATTATAGGATAAGAATATGAAGAAAGTAAGCATT